ATCATCATCATCATCATCATCATCATCATCATCATCATCATCATCATCATCATCGTCATCGTCATCATCGTCATCATCGTCATCTTCGTCATCATCGTCATCATCACGCCTCAGAAACCACTTAAACAAAATTGGGACTTTTTTCTTGGATACCATAAATCCCTAACTCTAAGTCCCGAAGTCTAAAGCAGCCGTTTGATGGCGGGCCTCGCTGGCTCCACCGGCATGGTGGCACCCATGCGGCTCGCGCTCGCAAGCGAGGAGCTTGCGAACCCAAGTGAGCCCCACTTGTCGTCCAATGGCCTTAACCCAGTGGTTGAGTTTCCCAGGGAACTGGGCCCGCCTTCACATGTACTCAATAAGTTTTCTTTATGGGCTTGATGAGTTTGTTGGCTCAAGTACACGAGTCAGCCGAGGGGTTCTCTGGGTGAAAGGGAATTCCTGTGATCTGGGCACACGTGATGGTTAAAGCCATCAAAACCTGGCAGCAAAGAAGTCTACCCAAGGCCCACGGAACAGAACCAACCAGTTGATGCTTGGGACCCCCCCCCGACTAATGCCTTTGTTTGTCTGGTTCTGTCATCGCGGCTCACTCGCTGTACCAAATAACCAGGACATACACGGTGGGGCGCTCGCTTTTAGGCCTTCTTGTCGGGTGACTAAAAGTAGACATTCAGGGGACCACCAATAGGGGAAGAGTAAAATCACGCGGCGGTCAATGCTGTGGAGGTGGCGCTTCCCATTTGTACGACAAGTGAAGCAAGTAGGTGCTGAGTGTGTTTGTTCTGGCTGCATCCGGTGTGTAGTAAATTGCAACATTCCGCGGCGTCTTGAGCATGAGTGAGTGGCAATCAACTGAAGACGTGAGGCTTTAACCACCTTGGCATGGTACTTCCCGTTCCCCATTCCCCGCTCCCGACAAATGGATTTGCAAATCGATTCACGTGTATTAGTATTCAGACATGCCTGCAGGACCCATTGATACACGAATGTTTGCCCGAGCTTTCGTAGTAAATAAGTGCGCGAGAAACGGTAAATGCAAACACATGCAAACGCGCAGATTGCGGGGCAGAGCTTTGGCTTTGCACACTTTTTGGAATTGTGCCCGAGTTGCGGAAAATTGCGCCCGAGCAGCGGGAACTTGCACTCAAGTTGCGGGTTCGTTTTCTCTCGAGCACTTCACCAAGCATCTAGGCAACCTCAAAAAGTGCTCGAACTGGATTTGAGCAGAAAAAAAACGCGCGAATGCCAAAAACTGTCTGGAGCACTTTTTTGTATCAAAGGGTCCTCCAGGTGTTGAGCTCTGATCCGCACATGTTCGGTTGGAATTCGAAGGTAAGGCCAGTCGTGGATGGAACGCTACGAACGATTTATCGCGATTGAAGCGCAAGGCACCGCACCCCCAGATCAGACTCCAAAGCAAACACATGACAATTTCCCCTGATGGGCTCAAGTCCCTCATTTACCCCCCTGTCAATGCACGTGTTCGTCCTGAGGTATGGTCCTTCTGAGGACTGGTGCTGCTACCTTTCCCAAACAAAGCGCCCTCCCCTCCCAAAAAGCGCGCAGCCGGGTTGGTCGAATTGACAGGGAAACAGCACGACGGGCTTCTTTCCCTTTAACACAGCCCAAACACAAGAGCTTTTTCTGAGAGTCTCCATCCTCAGGTCATTTTGATCTTTGGCTTCCCTTGCGCTTCCCTGAAAAGAACTTCTCGGTGCCCTAGTTTCCCTTGTTTCCATCTTCGGACCTCCCTCCAAGACGGAACGCCCACGAGTCACGCCGCTTTTATCACTTCTGCGGGAGGGGGCACAGCTAAAGCCCTTGGGGCTCCGTAAGGAGACATCTCGGGCATTTGAGTCGTAACATTCGCCAAGGTAAATACCGGGTCAAACAAAAAAACACCATTCCTGCAAATCATTGGGCCCTCTGCCCGCAGCTTCCTAAACGTATGTTTTCAAGAGCTCGAATTCTCAGCGTGGGCCCGCTGGAAAACGTTTGGAGACCTTCAGGGGGTGCTCCGGTTAGAAGTTTGGCCGATCCTTACCGCAAACGCTACACCTAGAGAAGTAAACCAAATGGCTGATTGTCAGTGACAAAGGGACGCCCTGTGACCCGTTGTTTGGTTCGGAGCAACCCAGTGGAATCGCGCAGGGCAAATGCAGGAAGGCTTCCTGGTATCACAAAAGTGTCAACCAACCCTGATTCCTACAGCCATCTTTGAGTGATCCAAACGTAGGCAAGCTGGTCAAATTGCATATTCCCAGTGCGCCTATGGGTGGCTGCGCTTTCGCACGCGCTTTCGCGCGCGCTCACGCGCTCGAATCGGAATCGCGAACCTCAAGAGGTGCAGGGACTTGGGTCTGTGGTTTGCTGAGGGCACCCTTAGAGTTGGTTTAAAGGGAAGCCAACAGAAAAACCACCTTGGAAGACCCTATTTTGACACATACTTATTTGCACAGGGCGGCACAGCTGTGTACTCAACTCGACCGGGTGGTATTTTCTCAACGAATCCTTGTTTGGGACATGGCATGCTTGCGAAAAGAAGGCTACACGGATAGAGGTCTTTCCTTAAAAGGTGCAAACTCAGGAAAATCGTTGGGAAAGCAAGCAGGGCTGGTTGGTCAAGGGATGGAAGAAACCATCCCTTGCACCTCCCCAAGGCAAACATGCAACCCAGATTGGACTCTCTCTGGAACCATGTGGGCGTGCGCCAAATTAGGGGAACTCCAATAATTGCGGTTTTCTTGTTGGCTCCCTTTGCAACCAGGCTGAAAGGGGTAACTCCTTCCTGAAAGAAAACAAACAAACATTCCCATGGTGTTTGACAATCTTCCCGAATGGTCGCCACAATCTTCCCCATCTCTACCGCGTCCCTCCTTCGATCTATCCGAAATCGATCGCTCCCTTTTCGTCTCCTATTAAAACCCAGCCAAAGGGGTTTGCCAAACACACCAAGGATGGACAAAATTAAATTCGCACCGCTTGGGATGAATGAAAGGCCGACCTTTTTCTCAGGATTTTTTCCAGCGCTTCTTTGAATTTTTATCCGTTCCATTTTCCGGTCTCCTTTGGAGTGGTCTAAGGTGGGTCTAGGGTGCGCTTAGGGTTTAGGGCGGTGGGGGTTTGGGGTGGGCTTGGGGTGGGTTTAGGGTGGGTTCATGGTGGGCTTGAGGTTACGTTCAGTGTGTTTCGGTTGTGTTTCCATTCGGTTTAGGGTGCTCAGGGTGTGCATTTCGGGTTGGTTTAAGGGGTTTAGCGCGAGTTTGGTGAGGGTGGTTTGGGGTTTGGGGGTTCAGGGTTGCCGTATGTTGGTTTAGGGTAGAGGGTCAGATGGAGCTTGGGCTGGCGCGAGGTGGATTTAAGGTGGGTTTAGTGTGGTTTTGGTAATTTAGGGTTGGGTTCAGTGTTGGTTGGGTATAAGGTTTTCGGGGTTCAATGCTCGGCCCAAGGTAGGCTTAGGGTAGGTTTAGGATGGGTTTAGTTGGGTAGGTTGAGCATGGGTTTGGGTGGGCAGGCTATTGGTTTAGGGCAGGTTTGTGCTAGAAGTTTAGGATAAGTGGTTAGGTGCGTTTGGGGTGACCGTCACCACTGGTGACGTCCTTGGTGCATGAGTCGCCACCCTCACGAGAATATTTGGCGGGCGCCTTAATGAAACAGGACAGGAGAATGAAAGCAGCTGCTGAAGAAGCTGAGTGACAGCCATGGGTTGGTTTAAGGCGGGTTTTGGTTTTGGGTTCAGGGTGCGTTGGGGGTTGGTTTAGGGTGGGCGTTCAGGGTTGGTTTAAGATAGGTTTGATGGGCGTAGGGTGGGTTTATGGGTAGGTTTTAGGGTTGGCTGAAGGCTGGTCTGGGGTGTGTTTGCGGTTGCTTTAGGTGGGTCAGTTTAGGATTGGTCTAGGGTGGGTTCAGATGGAGTTTGGGTTGGTTGGGTTGGTTGAGTTGAGGATACAGCCGGGTTTAGTGAGGTTTCAAGGTTAGGATGGTTAAGGGTAGGTTTAGGGTAGGTTTGGGGTGCGTTTAGGGTGAGGTCGAGGTGGGTTGAAGGTGGGTTTAGGCTTGGTTGAGCGTGGGCTTGGCGTACGGTTGGGGTGGGTTTAAGGAGGTCTGAGGTGGGTCGGGGCAGGTGTAGGGTAGGCGGTTTTGTGTTTGGGGAAAACGGGGGGGGGGGGGGGGCTTGCTTGCTTTCTTTGCCTTCCGGACTGGAAAAAAAACAACAATCCAGCGGGATAAAAAATCCATCAATAATACAGCACCCTGAATGAAACCCTATGAAAGGCAAAAACCGCCAATCCCACCTGCGAACTGGATTTCGTCCGCGGAACGAAAGGCGCCTTCACTCAGGAGTTCCGGATGCAAATACATCCGAAGCTTCCATACTGCAACAGTGCAACTAAGAAATCGACCCACGCAAGCCCGGCAATAGAAGAACCCCGGTCGACCGGGAATCCTGTTCCATGTTGAAGAGATCCTTCATAGGATAACACTCCCCTTTCTCGGCCATGACCAAGCTGAGGCCAACAGCTTGGCTCCTTGTTACGTTGCAAGGATGCCCTTGGGCTCATTCTGAGCCCTTTACATCCTGAAAGGGAAATGAGCGGCTTGCTGGTCTGCTTGTATGAGCACCTCTCGCCCCCCCTCGAATTCCCTAAGCTGGAAGGCTTAAATGAAGGGGGCTACCATTTGGAAGGCTGGGGTCCATTGGAACCAAGAAACAACCGCATCCCGAAATCGAGGAAACTCCTCTTGGCAAGCCTCCTTTGGGTTGCTGATGCAAACTTTCTAGGGGACTAGGCCCCAAATACCAAGGAAAAACCTGCCCAGTGCTTCCAGTTACCGTTATAGTAGGTAATCATGTAAAAACTGCAGCTAAGAATACCGAAGGGTTACCTACTACCGTGGCTTGTTTGGAAGCACCGAGCTTGGATTCCTAATAAACGCTTTGTAGGGGACTAGCACCCAAATACGAAGGGAGAGTCGGCTTCTAAAACCACTCAGGCCTCAAAGTGGCAGGTCACCTTCTGCTTCCTGCGGTTGCGGGCGAGCGTCTTCGGGCGTGTTGCGGGTCTCTCAAATTTGAGGCGGATCGTCTCAGCCGGGTGTCTCAACATGCACAAAATTCCTGGCCCGGTATATGGGGCCAGCTGAACAAGTCTTCTTCTAAGATGGCCAATATGTTTCATCTAGGGGGCCCTGAAGTACGCAAGTACCTTGTTGGATGGGGTCACAAGGGTAAAGGGGAAACCAAAGTAGCCAATATCAATGGTCTACCCTTGTGGGTTGGTCATTGCCTTGAGATGGATGGAGCAACCCGACTGCTCAGGCGAGGAAAGCTCCAAGGAACAATCTATTATATATATATATATCCGTTTTGGGCGGGGGGGTCTTTTGGAGGAAAGGGTAAAAGTACATAGATAGTGCCTCATTTTGATCATGGACACTTGCATGACGTTTCGATTGCAATCGACGCGTTTTGAGAGTGCTTTAATCATTGACGTTCCTAGGTTGCTTCGTGGTTCCTGAA